ACTACCCATCCCAAGGTACCAGAATGATCTGGTCCATTCTTCTTGGTAACTAAGATATGAAACAAGCAGTAGGTACATTCTCCAAATACTTGGGCTATTCTGTTTTTATTCGGGGAAAAAAGTAATTTTTAACTTGTTTATTAATCTCATAATTCAACATTTAATGAACGCCAAATTATGTGTCACACTATGCTAGGCACGTTTAGAAATAAGTAAGGCAATGCCCTCCCTCCAGGAACATAAACAAATATTCCATTTTGTTCGTGAGAACCATATGAAGTTCACACTGGTTTTATCTGTGGCCTAATTTTGGAGGCTCTTGCCTGAGGAAGGACAGAGAGGTACGAGGTCCCGCGACCCGGCCAGTGTCTGGGGTGGGGGTGGCGGGGCAGACAGCCCTACCTGACCCTCTCTCTCACTGTGTTTGGGTGGCTACCACTATGTTTACAAGGCTGGGAACTTTGAAAGGTCAGGCTACCCGCCCTTCTCCAGGAACTGGCTCCCGCTGGTACAGCTTCAGGGTGACCCTGGCAAGCCCAGTGCCTGCCACAGCTCAGGGCTGCAGCATCGAAACAGGCTGTCCTCCATGGGTCTCCTCCCGCCAGGATGCAGCACAGCATCCCTGTCCTCGGCCACGCTGGATGGGTCCCCAGGCCTGGGCAGTGCCCGCAGTCCCCGCTCAGCTCATAGCCCCGCCTCCGCAGACATGGGTGTCTCCCAAGTGAGCTGCATGTAGCCCGTCCACTCGCATGCACGTCCCCTAGTGGGCAACAAAGGGCAAAGGAGAACTGAACTGGCCTCGGGGGGCTAGTTCTGAGCCGCAAGCTTGAAATTCGGGAAAGTGGAGAGATCTGGCAGGTGTCTGCTCTCTAGTGATCGAACTTGTATTTTTGGTTTGATTTTTGTTTTTTATATTTTTTTAATCTAGGAACCCGATTCTTCAAATGATCAGCTCCAACCTCACCTTCCCAGAGAGACTCTTCTCAGACCGCCCTCCGTGTCAGTCAGGTCTCACTTGCTGTTGTCCCCGTCCTCATAGTCACCTCAGCAGCAACTACTACATTTGTCATCAGGTGTGTTCGGTTAACCTCTGTCTAAAATATCATAAGCTCCAAAAATATCAATATAACTTAATTCAAAACACAGCTAAAAGCTTAAAAAGATCAACAGTAAAGGTTAATAAAGACATTTACTTATAAACTGCATTTCCTGTGTCATGAGATCATATCCAGTGTGTTCACAGAAGAAGCCTCGAGAAAGACGTTAACCAGGTCACCCTTAACTCACGCTTCTGGGCAAAACGAATGAGACCGTGAGCAGGAGAAGAAAGGTCAGCTCAGGGTGGCCTGGCTGCCAGCCAACGCCCAGCAGGGAGAAAGCGCCTGACGTCTCCGGTCCCATGACTCCCGTCCAGAAAATGGGGATAAACGGCATCCGGGGTGGGGGTCATAAGGAAGAGAAAGCAGACCCGGCCATGGGCATGAAGAGAAGTGCTCAGGGAAGGTCACCAGAGCCCAGACGTCAGCGGGGCCCCAGGCGGGGAAAGGGGGATGTTGGGGGGGAGTCCCACTCCAGTCCCGGCCCCTGCCCCTGCCCGAACTCTCCGCCCCCTTCTGGGACTCGCGCCCCTGGGCCATCCCTGCCACTTCCTGTGTCCATGCCCCCACACAAAAAAAAGAAGCAAAACTTATTCCTTTCATGACAACACAAGAAATACACTCACTCCAAAAGTTGACGTACCTACAGAAAGTGAAACACTAAACACATCAACGGAACCACATCTGCCACGAGCAGCCACAGCTGCACTGAAGCGGGAGGAGAGGGGAGGGCCAACCCAACGACCCTGCAGCACGGCGTCTGCCCCACGGGCCCAGGCTACCGAGCGGGAGAGGTGGCGGCTGCCCCCCTATCCACGGGTGACGCGGTCTGAAGCCCTCGGCAGATGCTCAGAACCGCGGACGGTACAAGCCCCGTGTAGAGTTTGATCTTATACGCGCACGGTAAAGTCTAACAGGTTAACAAGAATAATTAAACAGAACTACAGCCGTGGACTGCAATGGAAGTTACACGAACGAGTCTGTCAGAGCACCCCACCCGCTGCCCTCACCCTTCTTTCTCTTGTGATGGCCTGCGATGATCAAACGCCACCCCCACGCCTGAGTCTGTGACCGCCCCTTACTCGGAGTAAATGGTTTGGTGTCACTCGTTCCGGGGGACCCCCTGCTGACATCACTGTACGGGCTCAATGCTTTCTGGCACGACGGGCCACTGTTCCCGGCCCCCCCCCCAAATTTAACGCCATTTTCACCTTCACGAAGCACCTGTCACGCACTGCGGCCGTCGCTTCTGCAGTGTGAGGTGCGACAACAGAACTAGCACAAACTTTTCTCTTCTTCGCCATTTCACGGATTCGCTCTGCCCGCGAATCTCAGCGACCCCAGCACTTTTTTCTTCGTTGTCGAGAACACGCACTTTTCACTTATGGCGTCTCTGGCGTATCCGAATTGCCATCATCACTACTCTTGCACGTCAGGCTCCTTAAGCAGTAAAATAAGGGTGACCTGAACACAAGCACGGCGACAAGACAGCTGATCTGACCACCAAGACGGGTACTAAGTGACAAACCGCATGCATCAGCGTCTATAGCACGGAGACACTGGACAAAGGGATAAGTCACGTCCCAAATGGGACAAAGCGGGACAGCGGGAGACTTTATCACGTGACTCAAAACGGTGTGTAATGTAAAATTTATGAATTGTTCATTTCTGAGATTTCCCACTTAATTCGTTTGGGCCGCAGCAGACCGTAAGTGACTCGAACGGCAGAAAGGACAATCACGGCGGGCGGAGGAGGCAACACCGAGTTAAATGCTCAACTCCGGGTAGCAGGCGTCTTTTTTCGGAGCCGTGGGGTAGCAATTCTGAAACTATTTTTAGTATGTCCTAGGACTGAGCAAACGAGTAACTACACCGTGGGTACAGAGAGGCAGTTCTCTCTGCCTCGGAAAAGGGAGTTATAAATACAGAGAGAGAGTCAGGGTAGAACTAACCCTGAGATGCTGGATCGGAACTGGAAAGATGCATTAGAACTCACTGGCTTTTAGGATAAAAATAGGGACAGATATATAGATGCGTGTGGGTAGGTATAACGTCTATGCGTGTCCGTGCGGTGCACGCACGCACCTGCATCTGTTTCCCAGCTGTGTTTACTGGCGAGGGCCGAGAAGCAAGGGCGCCCTGGTAACAATGAGCTCACCTCGTTCCCAGATCTCGGTTTCTAAACACTGTTCTCCACTAAAGAAACCAGGTCCCCCTGTGGCAACAGCTCATTCCAGAGCTGGACAAGGAACGTGCTCTGTGCAGAAAGGAAGAAAGTGCTCAAGGACAGACAGGGCTGAAGGGGTTCAACGGGCCAAACCTGGGGTGACCCGAGGACCACGATAAGGGGTTATAAACCACGGATGAAAACAGGAATTCATGCGTTCAGAGAACTATAAAGACACATGAAGGAACTTTTTGCTCACAGAGACGGACAACTAGTAAATGCAGAAGAAGTGACAGATTTAGAAACTCATCATCTAGCAACCACGATGATGGTAACTGATTCTGGAAGGAATCAATAGATGAAACTCATCATCTAGCAACCACGATGATGGTAACTGATTCTGGAAGGAATCATCAATAGATGAAACTCATCGTCTAGCAACCACGATGATGGTAACTGATTCTGGAAGGAATCATCAATAGATGCTAAGACTAATGGGCGAAGAAAATCTGAGGACTGATGACTAGCAGGATGAGGACACAGTATCAGAATATCGCATCATGAGACACCGAATTACAAAGGAGGGAATTTGAACTTCACTATGAACCTGACCTCCTCGAACGTAGCATCACCCCCAAGGGGACTAGTCGAAGTCATGTGCCTCCTGACATGATGGCTGTGAATTCAGTGTCACTTCTGTGTGTTCCCGCCAACACAGCAGAATCTGAATGTAACCATGAGGAGACATCACGCAAAGCTCAAAGGACGGACATTCTACAGAACTGGCTGTGTTCTTCAAAATCATTCATGTCACAGAACACCACGACAGGCTCAAAGAGTAAAGGCACATGACAACTGAATGCCGTACGTGACCCAGGGTTTCCTTCTGCTTTACATAAAATTAGAACAAGACTGAGACGACCGGTGAAACTGTGGGTCCCAGCTGGCGAAACCCGAATAGCGCCGCGCCAATGTTACCGTCCCATTTCGATAACTGTCATGTGGCTACGTAAGAGAAAGTCCTTGTTTTTAGAAAACAAACACTGGCAACACTTGAGAGTGGGTAAAAGGGTATCATGTCTGCAACTTAATCTTAGATAAACACTCGAGAGAGGGAGGAAAGGGCAGAGGGCATGTCAGAGATTCTGGGGCTCCCTCAGTCAAAAAACTCGCCAACGACACGCAACATGTCCAGTCTAGCCACACGATCCTTGTTTCCACCGTCCCTCTTAGCCGCTCAGACCACACATACAGAGCACGATGTGGGAACCGCAGAGACAATCAGTCACCAGAGCTGGTGAGAAACGCGCACAGAGAGCTGCAGAGCAGCCATGGGGGGCTGACTCGCAAGGCCCTCCAGGATGCGAGGGCACCCAAACCCGCACTTTCCAGCACGCCGCCCCAAAGCCTCCTGCTCCTTGGCTCCAGGTGCTATGGCTGAGCTGGTCCCCTCATACCCCCGGGCCCCTGTTAGGTCAGAGGCTGCCTCTGAAGCCAGGTCCCCACCCTGCCCATCCAGCCTTGGCCCAGACCCAGTTTGGGGCACAAATGTGCCAGCTTCCAGGGGACAACAGTGTGCAGATCCACTTGGCATAGGATTTAAAAGAACAAAGAAAAGTCTGTTAATTACCTGATTTTAAATCCGTTATTATACTAATACACCAAGTATAACCTTTTTATCAGCAAACTCAATTATCTATGTATTTTATGTTCCTCGGAAAAAAAAGGGAGGCAACTTCAATTCTGCAATAAATATTTAATGTCTATTTGCTTCATTCCCAGATTTTTTCTTTTAAAAATTTAATCAAAATCTATCCCACCTTTCCATCCACAAATGTTTTCAAGAAGTGAGTAGAGACAATGTACTGAGCTACGCGATGGAGAGGCTGGATCCAGGTAGGGAAGGGGTGGGTAACAGTGTCACAGTGTGCCCTGCCCCCACCAGAGCAGGGGACAGGCTGCTGTTACGTGACTCGGAGCAGGTCCGGAATCTGGTGAAGAGCAGATCTCGTACCCAGAGCAGGCTCCTTCCACCCGCCCACCTGTTCCAGCTCTTGAAGCTGACGCTTGCCCTTGAGAAATTTCAAAGACAGTGAAAGTTTAACATGGTAAACAGCTGAGAACAAAGAGAAAACTTAACCCTAGGCTAAATTCCTTCCACATAATTAAATCAGCCCATCTTGATGGGGAAGTTTGCAGAGGCAGCGGGCATGAAATTATCTATAAAAGGAGATACTGCTAAGGAGAATCTTTTTAATATACCTAATTCTTGACTGCCCTTGCCCTAGGCAGAAACTCAATTCTACCTAAGGATAGCTATCTTGGAAAAGTTACGTAAGTTGTAAGGGGAGATAAGAAACTGGAACTTTCACAAGGTAAATGAGAAACTGCTGAGAAAGGAACGATGCAGGAAAAACCTCCAACTTACAGAGATGACCATCTCAGCTAGTTTACCATCCAAAAGCTGGACCTCATCGACCATACGCGACTCCATCCTGTGAGTTACTGCACCGCCTCTCCAATTTAACCTGACAGTCACGCAAAAGAGGAAGCGCTTCAGAAATTAGCTGACCACAGTTTGACGGCAACATCTTTAAAAATATGATCATTTCTCATTTAGTACAGCTGGAAAGTGAAGGAAACTACCACGAATGCCCGGGTTTCTTACTGAAAACTGTTAGGTCAACGCCAGGAGAGGAGAGGTGGGCAGTCAGTTCTGTGACTCACCAGTGGCTCAGTGAGTTGAGAGAGGGGAGGCACCAAATCAAGAAGTCGCTTTTTCAAATGTGGACCAACAGGAGTTCTATGGAAAGGAATCTCACAGGATGATCTGACCATAAATTCCCTCCTAGGCAGGTCCTGGCATAGTCTGCGCCCCAGGCCTGAAACTTCTTTGGTGAAAGGCTTATCTGTGCCGTAAGCCCTGTTCCTTGTTTCTGTGCATCTAGGCTAACACACCTTGGAAATGCCCCCTTTCAGACCCCTGCCTTTAAAGTGTCACCACCCCTTCAAGAGAACACATAATCTTGTTACTACCCTGTAACTACCCTGGAATCCAGCAGTTCCCAGCCAGTTTGGCACCAAAGACTTGTGCTCCTATGAGAATTTGATGCCTGAGGATCTGAGGTGGAGCTGAGGAGGTGATGCTGGCACTGGGGAGTGGCTGCAAATACAGAGCCCACCGCTCACCTCCTGCTGTGCGGCCCGGTTCCTAACAGGCCACAGACCATCCTGGTCCACAGCCCCGGGGTGGGGTGGGGTGGGGAGGAACCCCTGCTGTAATCCAAACCCAGCCTTGGTTTCTCCCACAGTCATGTAATCTTCCTTATGTTCCCTCTTCAATTTCAAATCTATAAAAGAAGCTGAAAACTATCATTTGTTGAAACCATTTTTCTCAGCCTGTTGAGATCTTGCTTCTAGGCATCTCCTGTTTGGTTCAAATAAATTATAAAAATTGTCTACAGCTTTGGACGCTCTTATGTCAACACTGAGAAAGCATGTGGACTTGGGGGCCCAACCCTCCACTCCGCTCTGTCACTCCGTGCCACACAAAGCCTGCATCTGTCACAACACCAGGATGAGGGCAGGACCAAAACGTGAATGGCTCTTTATCCCTGCCTGCCATGTAGGGGGCACCATGCAAAGCTGCTGGCTTGAACTGAAGAAGCCAAGAAAAGTGGCTCTGGGTGGCGGGGAAGTGGCACCTAACGGCCAGCAAACGTAAGCTCCAATTGTCTTCTCCTGGTGACACTACAGCTGCTTTCAGTATGAATCGGGAGGCTCAGATGAAGCTGGAGGACAGTTGTGAAAGGTAAGCCCACGTGCCATGAAGCTTGCATTTCACGAAGGGCCTTGGGTTCTGCAAGAAAACCAGGCTGGGAGGGGCGAGAGGCGATCAGTTAGCTCCCTCATTCAACAAACACACGCCGAGCACTTCTTATGGTCAAGAGTTTGGATAACACACCAAGCTGGAGGAAGCTGACTTTGAAAGCCTCAGCTCTGCCATTTGAAAACTGGATGAAACTGACCTTTCTGAACTTTTGTTCCTCCTCAGTAAATGACACAGGAATTTGAGTTGTCGGGAGAACCGAGCGGCAAAAAGCGTGAGGTCAGTGCCGTGGAGTGTGGAAGCTACTGTTAATTACAAACGAGGACCTCAAGCTCAAGGTCAAGGGACTGGCTCTGGTGTTAAGTAAAAGGCCAATCATGGGGCCGAGAGGCTGCCTAATTAGGCCAGGAAGCCAGACTCAGCTGCCTGGAGGAGGTGAAATCTGAACTTAAGTTTAAAAGGGTGGAGAACAAGGCCCCGCAGAGCCGGGCGGCAGGCAGAAAGCAGGCTATAATTTATCACGGGGCGCGCTATACTATTACCACCAGTAGCAACGCTACCCCCTCGCATTTACTGCGTCCTCTATAGGACCCAAGGAAACTTTCCATCAGGAGCTCGGTTGAACCTGGACCCTTCCAAGCATCCCGGCCAAGTGCGTGGGTCTAAAGGCGCTCCCCATTTCACAGAGGAGGAAGCCGAGGCGCGACAAGAAGGAGGCGCAACCACGCGGCCAGCGTGGGCAGCGCCGGGATTCGAACCTCCCGCCCGTGTGGACGCCGGCGATCCGTCGCTGGCGCGCGCCCCAAACCTCCCTGTTGCCCTAGAAACGGCCGCGCACGCGCGCGCACGGCCTCCCCTCTTCCGCGAGCACCCGTGTTACTTTTTCTGTTTGGTTAAACCCGGGGCGGCGGGATACGGC